TCTTTCGATTTTTTAAATTTACATTTTAGTATGTTTTTATCCACAAAGTGTTGATTCTTCTTCTCCTTCTCAAAGATTATGAGCATATACTCTATTTCTCATACTTTTATAATTAAAAATTCAGTGATAAAACTTCTACTTGATCATCATTTGTTCAAATTCATATAACAATAGGAAAAACTTAGAAGGAAAGTCATTAAATCTGAAAAAGCCATTGGAAGAAAGAGATTGTCTGATTAAGGAATATGGAAGAGTGTAATAAAAGGTTTGGAAGAAACGATATACAGTGAGTTTCTAAAAGTTTGCACAATATGGGAAACTTCTTACTATCCATTTGTCACAAAATTTTATTCTTGATAAAAATTGGTGCATTGCGGGAAACTTGGATTTGAGTTGTGAAAATTCTAAATTTCCGAACTGTGTACAGGGAAGAACAAAAATAGAAATTTTGATCAGGAATCAACTACCCTTATTTTCAACATTATTAAAAAAGTTTATTTAGAAAAGCTCAAAAACCAAAGAAGGCTCAGGATGTGAAGGGTACTCCAGATCACTAAGCCTAAGGATTAAGTAGGGAATGGAAAAAAATACCAGCGGGTTCAAACAGAACTGGCTGGTATCTCAATCGCCACAAAATAAATAACCAGGAAAAGAATTTCTGAAGGTAATCGCATTGCCGACTCTTTAGCCAAGGATGCGGCTGGACTAAGCATTTTAGGACCCAGTGACACCTACGGCCTGATGACTTCAACAATTGCGGAACTAGCCAAACGTCACACCCATGATCAATTCCTAAAGAGATAGGATGGAATTAAAGGATGTAATCTTGCCAGGATCACCCTGAGTCTCCCTGGGAAGCTGGCGTCGAAGAAATATCTGACAATGACCAGGAAAAATCTACGCTTGACCGTAGGATTTCAGACTGGCCACTGTTAACTGAGGAAACACCTCCATAATATGGGTCTAATGGACACACCTCTATGCAGGATGTGTGAACAGGAAGATGAAACTGTCAGGCATGTCCTATACGAGTGCCCGGAGTTACCGTCAATAAGAGAGTGTGTGTTCGGCGACTCTTGGCCTACAACAGCCGATATAAAGGAGATGTCTCCTAGCGACATGTCCACTTTCCTGGAAACGGCAGGATGGACGATGACCTAGGAGGACACTCCTAGGGTGAGTGTAGGTGGGCCTACACTCACCCTCTCTACTCTAGAGGTACAGACAGAAGGCCCAAATATATGTAACATAGCTAGTCAAAAAGGCATGGGATAGACCATTGCATTTTTTTATTACTTTGAAGCATGGTTAACCTCGAAGGTTCCGACTGTCATTGTTAAAAAATGTGATCACTGACTCGAAATCTATTAGACAGGGAGCCCGTGATAGAAATTTTGATCCCATTTTTATCGTCTGCCTTTTTCAGATAGGCCAGGCGTACTATGTTGAAAAATACTGATTTTTCAGAAAAATTCCTTACAGGGTAAACTCAACGGAAATGGGTTGGGAAGGTAGTCAGTAATGTTGGGTCAAAAATTCAACAGCTGAATGTTTGCAGGGGCGGAGGGGTGGATGTGAAAATGGGTGAAAAACGGTTTTTCGCGGTTTGCGGACAAAATAATTGNACCCGAGATTCCTTCACCTCATGTCTATTATAAATTGATTTTGCCTTATTTTTACCTAGTCAAAGATCACAGTGAAAAAGACGAAAACATAACAAGGTAACGAAAATATTTTTTTATTACTGCAGAATAAACTGCCATGACATATCTAGAATTGCTTTAAAAATATTAAATCATCATCATTTAATCGATAGACAGAATAATTCAAAATAAGAAGCAGCCCACAATTCATTATAGCTGAGGAGCTAATGCCTTTTGTTTTTTTAATAGTCTGTATATTTTGATGGTTGTAAATATATCTTGTTTCACCGTTGAAGGTCAATATGAAAAGAAAACCCACGGAAATTTTCAAGAATTTTCAGACAATTCATCAAATTTGGATTGACTTACACTGATTTAAAAAAACATGTTTTCAAATTTACAAATCAGAAGTAATATAATACAGTTACACACAGTTACATATTAGAAGTAAAAGTTATACTTATTAACATCACAGTGGACTGATTCATATTTTTGGTGGGAATTAGAGAAATATTAGAAATTACAAAATCTGTTAAAATAACCTCACACGCAGTGATATTGACCAAATGGCACATATTATTTACTACAATTAAATATTATTGTCCGAGTAATATTTCAAAATTACTTTAATTTACAAATATTTCACATACTTATTGGTGAAACATGAGAAAACAATTGAAGAAATTGGTGAAGTCTATGTAATGAGTTTTTTTGTGGAACATTGGCTTTATTAGAGCTTGAAACATCTTTCAATTGTCAAAATAGTAGATTTTCAAAACGGAAAAGTTTTCGGCCATGAAGTGTGCGGAACATGAAATGTAATTATTCATGCTGATTTATGAAAAATGTATTTTTGTAAAGTTTTGTAATGGTCATGAATAATCAAATATGACTATCACCTAATCATCCATGAAAAAATTTTCAATTTCGAAATAAACTCCACCCAATCAATTTTTTTTATTTTATACAACATTGAAAGTAAGTTACAAAGACATACAGAAGGTCTTATTGTTTGAGGTTCGGTGAAAAGTTTCTCACATCTTAAAGCAATGAAACGAAAATTCAAAATACTCATAATTACTTATTTTCATCAACATATTGTTTTATAATATCCTAATTTACAGATATGTCATTGAGGACTTCTGAATTGATACTTACAATTTTTCAATATCCATGATAAAATTTATAGAATTTTCGTAATGAATTTCATTTAAAACGCGTTTTCCTACACGGCAGCTTCGTGAGTTACTAAAATATTATCAATATTATATAGCAGTAGGTAATGGCAACACTTATTAGATAAATGATTAAATCTGGTAAAACATTTAGAGTTTGGATAAACAAGTAGGTACAATACAATATTAATCCAAGCAAACAGGTAAAATACTGGCATTTTATGTTAAAATGTCCACTTATGCTTGTCACCTCTTAGAGAATAACCACGATTTTAACACGGTCTACGACATATTACACACAGAAAATGAAGGAAAAATTTTAAACGTTCTAGAATTTCTAGTAATCAATGAACGCAAATATTTAAAAAAAAGAGCCATCAACAGGAAGTTATTCATTTATCATCATTGAACTTGTTCCAGATATTGTATCAATTTTCAATTCTAT